TTGCTTCAGACACTTGCACAACTTCCGAGGTCGTGGAATCCCGGAGTGGTTTGGGCGGGAAGGGACCTTAAACCATCCCAATTCCACGCCCTGCCACGGGCAGGGACACCTTCCACTAGCCCAGGTGGCCTTGGACACTTCCCAGACAGAATTCCACCCCAGCCCCTGCCCACCCTCACAGGGAGGAATTTCTCCCCAGCATCCCATCTAAATTTACCCCGTTTTCCATCATTAGCTAAAACACTGAATGATAAATGGTATTTTTTTTACCCTCAGGTAAAGCCCCCCTGGAGCTCCAGCCTCCCCCCCCCCTGTAATCCTCTGTCTTCCCCCCTGAACACTGCTGGTGCTGCCACCCTGGCTGGGATTTGGGATTTTAGCTGGGTGCTGGTGGTGTCTCTCACAGTGCTGGGGCTTGTTTTGCTTGGACAGCTGTCCTGGGAAGGCTGATCCATCTCCAGATTTATTGGAGGGAGCTCAGCGTGTCGAGGACTCCCAAAGGGAGTTTGTGGAGGGTTCCCCTGGAGCCTCCCCCCGAAGCCACTGGGTGATTTCTCTGCTGGAGCTGATTTCCCCCAGGCTGTGAAAACATCCCTGGAGGATGTGAAGGAAGTTTTCCTCCCCTGGGGACTAATTGGTGATGGGAGAGAGCTCAGGCAGAAGCTGGAGGTGTTGCAGGGCTGGAATCTCCCTTCTTGCAGTGGCACTGGGGGCAAAAGCTCCTTCTCCAGGAGAACCTGACCTGCTCCTGGCCCACAGGAGGTCTGCAAGCTGATTTTTCCTGTGGTTTTGCATGGTCCTGACAGGCACAGGAGGTTCTGTGCTGTCCCACAGGGGTGAAGGTGGGAGAAACATCTCCCTCTACCCCTGTGATGCCAGAGAGGGGGGAAGGAGGATGAGTTCAGGGCTTTGGTGGGAGGGATGGGGTGAGGATTTCAGTGGTTCAGTCGGACTTTGGAGCTTCCCTGCCTGTCCCTGAGGTCCTGAGAGCCCACCAGGTGACCTGGGAGCTGTGTGACTGTGGTTCATTCAGGCTCTGTGGTTATTTAGGCTTTTGGTGGTGGCAGGTTCTGCAGCTCCAGGAGGAGCAGCTCCTCTTGTTCCAGCTCAGAGATGGTGTTGGGGTGCTGGAAAGTCACGGCTGAGCTGTTTTCCAGACACAACTGGCTGCCATGAGCTCACCTGGGAGCTGTTCCAGCTGATAAACCCCCTGAAAAGGGGGATTCAGAGCTTGTGGCTTCTCCAGCTGGCAGGATCTGCTGCAGAAAGGCTGCTGGTTTCCTGGTGAAGGCATATTGTGTTCTCAGAGCTGGTTGTGT